CAACGCCAGCACGGATTCTGCAGCATCAGCGTCATGAACGAGGTTGCGCGGATACTGGAGATGCCACCAATGCGTGTATACGAGGTTGCGACTTTCTACACCATGTACAACCGGGACCCCGTGGGCAAGTTCCACGTCCAGGTCTGCACAACCGTGAGTAGACACCATGTTTGGCATCGAAGGCAGCAGCTGACAGAATAAAGACCCCATGCATGCTTTGCGACAGTGACTCCGTTATGAAGGCTTGCGAAGACGTATTGGGCGTACACCACGGCGAGACCACCGCAGATGGCCTCTTCACATTCTCCGAGGTCGAATGCCTTGGTGCATGTGCGAACGCGCCCATGGTCCAGATCAACGACGACTACTACGAGGACCTTACATACGACTCGACAGTCAACCTGCTCAAGGCCCTCAAGGCCGCCGAACAATCTACTGGTGCGCAGCCTGGAGGCAAGGGTCTGGCATCGGGCAAGGGATCGCTGAACGTAGAGGCGGGCGCCGGTGAGGCTCTTGCCAACGAGCAGGGACGCCAATACGCGGCTGGCGGCCTCAAGCTGCCATCACCAGGACCATTGAGCGGAAGGAAGAGCTGCGAGCCGGCTGCTGGATTGACTTGCTTGACAAGCGAGCCCTGGGGTAACGAGACCCTGCGGAAGGACGGCGAGCTATAGAGGGTCTTTGTAAATACTGTAACATTTTCCCTTGCATTCGGAGTAAAGGTCTTGGGGTTGATCTCCCTGTAGACCATCTCAAATGTCGCACTAGTTCAACTATTTACGTGTGCGGGTTTTACATGTGACACCTTCCTAATCACTTCAACGCGCAATTCACATCCAGGCACCAAACACTTCTAGGCCAGTGACTCATTGCTCAGTTTGTACGACGACTACCAGACACGTAGAATACTATTGATCTATTTCCATATCCTGCTTCGACCCCCGGATGTCCTTCAGTCAATCCATCACTCCACGACTTCAACAGAAATCCAGCAATCACCAAAACCAACATCATGCACTTCTCCATCCAACCCGCCGCTATACTAGCCTGCCTCCTCGTCCTAGTCACCGCGACTACAACCCTCAACCAGATTTCCCCTACAACACTATCGACCCTCCCCTCCCACTCCATCATCACCACAGACCAAGTCTCAACACCAACAGAGGTCACCACAACCGCCAAAAAACGGTGTCACATATGCATTGACAAGCTCAACACATGTCACAACGTACGCACCCCGATACCCTCCTCTCCCGTACACGAAGAGTACTAACACAAAGGTCGATATTAGAAAGGAAAGAAGAGCTGGGACTACTGCCGCGACGAGCAGTGTGAACACTCTTATTGCTTCTGTCATGGGTGCAGGGGCATGTAAGTATCTCCATTCCAATTTGAAGGGATAGTGTAGAGCGGTACTGACGAGGCACAGTACATGTCCTGACCGTGACAGACCTTGTGGTGAAGCGCTTGGATGATGGGCTTTGAAAGGGGGTGATTAGTTGTGCGGTGGAAGGGAGGGGGTCAGTGACGACATGTGCCTCTGTTCTACTCATGCATGGGGGATGAGGATAGAAAATGACGTGCTGGACGTGGCGGAACACTCGTTGCTCTATACATCACGGACCAGTATTGATGTAAAGCAGTCTCATTAACCCCAGTTTCCCAGGTCCACCATGAAACTGTCTATATTGTACAAGCCATGCCAAATCATGTCCGCTTAGCAGACTCGAAATATGCTTCTATGTATGATGCATGACCGCTCGTTCTTTTTCGGCTCTAGAGAAAGAGGAAAAAGGGAAAAGTTGCATGTGAATGCTGTGCAACTTGCAAGGACTAAAACCCAGTCAAACGCCTTCGCTGTTATCCATGGGAGATCGTTCCCAAATCAGACCCCCAGGCCGTGGTGACCCTTCCCAAATGCAATGCTCGTATTTTGTATCAATCGCTTTCGTTGACGTTATACAATGCCACCTGCTGTCGGTGAACGGTTTCGTGTATCTTTCTTCCCGTCGGAAGAGCGCTCGTAATGTGAAGTGTCTCGTCGATTTCTTCTGCCGTAGTTCGTTTCGACCATGGTGAAGGTGGGACTGTCTGTCCTACAAGAAGCCCGAGTTCCCCTTGCCCATGAGCAGGTCTCGTGTCATCTCGAAGCTGAGCCAACTGCTAGCCATGCTAGGCGCGACCTTGAGAAGGTTGGGCACGATACCCTTGTACAGACCCCGGAAGCCTTCTGTCTTGATGATCTGCTTGATGGCGTCGCCGATTCCTGCGTACTGGTATCCCATACCGCTCATAGTGTTGATCTGGAATCTCCGCCGCAGAACATCGAATGGGTAGGTGATGGTCTGCGCAACAGCACCGGATACGGCACCAGCTCCTAATTTGCCGATGGCACCCGGGTCTTTCTGACCCTCGCGTGTAAACTTGGTACGGGCGATCTCGTACACCATAAAGTTAAGGCCAACATACGGTGCGACACCAGCCACTGTGGGAAGGATGCCACGGTATAGCGCCGGGAAACCGCCCTCGGTCTTGTACATAGTTACAAGCAGCGCCCACATGCCCGGTAGCTTCTGGCCAGCCTCCTTCTTGAGATCGGAGAACGATGCGGACTGGATGGATAGGCGTGTTCGGACGATATCGAGTGGGTAGGTGAACGTGACGGAGGTGATACCAGCAAGGCCACCACAGAGTAGTCGCTGGTAGGCATCGAGAGGGGCACCTGGTTCGCTCTCGAAGAACTAAGGCAAGTTAGCTGTGAAACTGTGGGACATACCATGGCCGTCGTCATCTTTGCCAAAGAAACCTCCGTGTCCTTGTATATCTCCTCCCGGCTCACTTTGAGCTTTCCATCGGCGAAGCTTCGAATCCTTCCCCACTTACCGCCCTCTCTCTTTCGTCCGCCCTTACCTTGTCCCATCCACCCCAAGGTTTGAAAAGCAAGTCGCTCGCTGAAATCAAGAACACGCTGAATAAAAGAGAGATAGACGTACCCGCTTGTAGACGTTGTATGCGCTGAACTGTACGGCCGAGTATGGTACAATCCGTATGCAGTTGGTACCGTTTCCGGCCATGAAGCCTCTCCATCCCTCTTCCCTCCACATCTTAGCCAGAGCCTTGGGTACGGACATCTTGTATTCCTCACGACCAACGCTCTGGACTTGGAATAGAATCTTGAGGCGTTCGAGGGGCGATACGACGGTTCGTGAAACCGCGCCAGCTACGCCGCCGGCAACGAAGGATGCCAGGACAGGCTGCGCAAAGACCTGGCGGACGCGCTGCAGGCTTGTGATGTCGGGAGTACCGAGGGGCTGCGATGAGGGGTCAATTGACATTCTGCGACTAGGATCTGCATCTTGACTCACTTTTATGCCCTTGCCCGGTTCGTCGCTCATGATGGCGGGCGGTTGCGATTGCGGCTTCTCGGATGGTTTCGACATGACGCTGTTTGGCGCTGCTCTAAACGCGGCGCTGTTGCTCTAAAAAGCAGGATATTGTTGTCCGAGCGGGGACAAGTTCTATCGACGGAAAGAAAAGGTCGCGCGACGTAGTGTCGAGGTCATCGGAAAATGGTGTTGCGGAGGTGAAGACAGATTTCCGGCCGTACGAGGTGAGCAGGACTTGTCGATGAGCGGTGAATTCGATCTTCCATGCAAGGCAGCTTTCAGGTGAGTGTTTGTGTGTATAGTCGCGCGTGTGTCATGGGCGTCGCTCCTCGGTAGGGTTGTCGTGTTTGGATCGTCTCTGGTAGCGGAGATTTGAGGATACCGCGGGAGGAAGGAGCGAATTTTAGTCTAGCGCCACGAATCGACGAATGCCATCAGCCATGCTTATAACAACCACGGTCCTCGCTGACGGCCCGGGTACTCGCGATCTGATACTTGGCTCTGGTTGACACCTGTCGTCTCCCTCCGGCATCAGCCCCTTGACGGGGCTGACTGCGAGCCGCCATGATTCGACGCGCATCATGGCAACACGTCAGGGGAACACCAGGGCAGATGCACGCAAACTGGCGTTGCGCCTCAGTCACCCCTTACTAGACGACGCAGTCAGCTGCGCACTGTCACTCCTTCTGCGTCAGCCGTTGTTGGAAACACTATAGGATGCTGTTTTAGAGCCCTGCTGCTCATGATCTTGATAGCCTGTATCTGTCTTGGATGGGTGTCGTCACATGCGGAATGGTACCGCCCGGGCTCTCCATCACCAGATATTGCGAATGCGTCCAAATCGTACGCACCGATGAGCACACGACCCCACACCCAACTGAGATCGCGTGCTCACTAGACTCTGGAGAACAGCGGGGTACAAACGTCGGCCGTGGACGTTGACACATCGTAATGGTCGATTCGGCGTTCCGAGGTTGAAGACGATAATATCTCGGGAGATGACCTCACATCTCGAGTCCGAGATGATGAGCTATCGCGAACACAGTGATTGTCCTTCAAGTCATGTCAAGGCCGCTTGCAACATATAGTTCTCCTAGCTATCGTCCTTTCTATCACGAGTGTTTGTGAAGGACGTGGATTTGGGGTGACATGTCGAAATCGTTGACGTACGTTATCGATAAGAGTATATAAGTTCTGCGAAGGCGAAGGCGACGCACAACAGTTGCACCTTCCCTATGCTGTCACGTCGTATATTTCGGCAGCTCACAGATAGCTTGCTACTGGAGTCTTCCCATCATCCAGTAGCGCCAGCGTGTTTTGCCTTGAGACACGCGACTCGTGACTCTCACCAATCCAGTCACAGGCTTTCAGATCGGCGTGCATCCTCATCTTCAACAAGATGGAAGTCACGCCAAGGCAGGGACTTCTTCGCCAAAGAAGCCAAAGTGCAAGGCTTGAAGAGTCGCGCTGCATTCAAGCTGCTTGAAGTAATTGCGCCTCGGTCTGTGACTGCGCACTGACTAACGTGCCACAGCTTAACACCAAGCACAAGCTTTTCCAACCCGGGCAGACTGTCGTCGATCTTGTATGTTTGTCGCCTTCACTGAAAACACGATGCTAAAGGACCCCAGGGTTTTGCACCAGGATCATGGTCCCAGGTTCGCCAGATCCATCTACACAAACTACAGCATCTTAATGTCTCCAGGTTGCTGCAGATCGTACTGCTCCAGAGGGTCGTGTCATAGGTATTGACTTGATACCCGCACAACCCCCGCGAGGCGTCTCCACCATACAAGGCGACTTCTTGTCACCTGTAATCCAAGACGAGGTTCGAGCCTATGTGCGAGATCCGGACCTGGGCAGACCCAGAAAACAGGTTTCTGCGAAAGCAAGCGAGGGACTTACCGAAGAAGAGCTGGACGACATGGAACGAGGATACATTGACATCGAACGACATGCTCATCTGGAGGGCGCAGAACTCGAGCCGATTGGGCGCCCAGCAGAGACCAGTGACAGAGAACAAGATGCTCCAACTAGGCTCTCGTTGAAGGAGAGGGATATGCAGCAGGGCAGAGCAGTAGACGTGGTGCTCAGCGACATGTCAGAACCCTGGGACCAAACGGCCGGCTTCTACAAGAAGAGCCTTAGTGACCCATATTTTAGGATGATGAACACCAGCGGAAATGCTTTCAGAGACCACGCCGGCAGCATGGTGGGTAGTCCGCCGATCACTCTTGATTTTACTAAATTTCGTAGGACTTGTGCATGGCCGCCCTGACATTCGCTTTCGATACGCTCAAGACTGGCGGCCACTTCCTCTGCAAGTACTACAAAGGATCGGAGGAAAAGGCATTCGAGACAAAGCTGAAGCGTCTCTTCGCCAAGGTGTACAGGGAGAAGCCGGAATCCTCTCGCGCTGTAGGTTTTTCCGCACAATGGATATTCCACGCTGACTGGCTCCAGGAATCTAAAGAGGCGTACTTTGTGGCACTGCGCCGCAAAGAGAAACCGACGAAGGAGGAGGTCTTTGGAGAATAATCAGGGAGACACCGCCTTACGAAGTGCTTATTACTACTGTATTTCTGCATCTTACTTCGGCCCGAGAGGTGCAGATCCCAAGGAGCTCTTGAGCACGTTTTGCTATTGAGACAAGGACTATACTCATCGGCGCCCACATTCCGACGTCATGCAGCCACATGGATGTATCACACACACCGAAGGAGCGTTGAGAGGTTAGATCCCGGTTAAGAAACCCATCCACACACCGCGTGATGAGCTAGAGCTCGCTTAGAAGTGGCAGCATGGGAGCCTATGATGTAGTTACACTCGATTGCCAAGCTCAACTTGAATACAACGTGGCGTTTTCAGAAGTGCATGAGAGAAATAGGTAACAAGTGCGTGCGTCGGTCCTGGAGGATGAGGGCGCGTGCTGCCTCGAGATGCCTCGATGCCAACATGGCCGAGTCTTCCCAAGAGTCAGTCACATGGCATATGCAGGTGGCGGCGGTTCATCTAGTTGGCGGATAAGAGCCTCAGACCCGGTATTAATGGCAGGCCGTGGTACCTGGTGACGGATCTGGAAGCGTCTCGTCCCATGTTCGGGAGATATGTCAAGCATTTTTGTGGGCCCATGTGACAGGGATGCTGGAGGTGTGAGGTTGCTTAAGGCACTGCATTAGGACATGCTTGCACGCTGGTCCAGTAGGGCGCCATGCGGGATTTGATGTATTCTGGAGTTCCTCTGACGATGCTGGGTGCGCTCGTGAGGACGTGGTCGCGCGGGAACAAAGAGGGCGAGGACGGCCAACTTGACTCGCTCGGCTGGCCTGAGCTGGGGTTGCAAAGCTTCTAGAGCCGAAACCCAAGCTTATCACGAACCGCACGTTTTCTCCCATCAACGGATCAACCCACCGATCAATCTAAACCGAGTTGTGCGACGTGGCCAATGAGTGCCGAACATGGATTTCAATAACCCTAATGCGTATGGCGGCCAGTTCGCCAATTCCCCGCAACACGCCCAATTCGATGCACAGGCGCGGCTCCAGCAGCAAGCCAACCCACATGGGCAGTACGGGCAGTCCCCGTCGTTCCCGGGCATGGGTGGCGCCATGGGGAGTAATGGCATTCAGCCAGGAGCCCCGTATCTCCAGCAGCGAGGTAAGCCAGTGACGTGCGCGTTTCTTGTCCTGCCCTATCGCCGCCCGTGGGCGCGTTCCTCGCAGCCTGGCTGACATGACACCATGGAGCAGCCGCCATGCAGCAGGCGCAACAGCAGCAGCAGCAGGCGCAACAACAACAGCAACACCAGCTGTCGTCCCCGAGCCCCTACTCGAACGCGCCCTATGCGCAGACGATGCCCTCGCCTGCCCACCACCAGTTTGCCCAGAACCGCCAGACGGCCTCCCCTGCCAGCACCACTGGCCAGGCACCCTATGCGACACCGCAGCCCCAGCCCTCGCCCAGCAGCATGCAGACCAACGGCCAGCAGACCCCCATGAACCTCCAGCTGCCCGTCAAGGCGGAGCCGCCCCAGGTCCAGACGCCCGTGAAGCAGGTGCCCCCGTCGCCAGTGTCGCCCGCCAACCCGGCGCGTAATGCGGACCGCGTCGCAACCCTCCTCGACATCAACAGCATCCTCATCAAAGAAGTCTGCGAGCTCCAGACGCAGGGCAAGGCAGGCCAAGTCGGGCCCACGCCAGAAGGGAAGCCCGAAGGCGACAAACCGCAGCCATCCAAGGAGTACGTAGAGTAAGTGCTGCGCATCCCTTGCGCGACGTCAGCTAACAACCCCAGCTACATGCGCCGCCTCCAGGCAAACCTCGCCTACCTCGCGCAGAATGCCGAGAAGGTACCAAAGCCTGGCCAGCAAATACAACCGGGGCCCGCCATCATGTCGATACCCGCCTCACCCACCGAGCTCGTCAAGCTATATACCAAACTGCAGGAGCTATTCCCAGGATGGAAGGGGCAGACCTCACAAATGAAGCAGTCGCCCGGGCCGCAACGGATGAACTCGAATGCGTCACAACCACCGAATAGTGCAGGCCTGCAGCAAAATTGGGGGCAGAATGCGATGCAGCAAGGCATGCAGCAATCACAACAGCAACAACAAACCAAGCAAGAGAATCAATAAGGGCGGGCTAGCAACCTCCATCGCAGGCGTATGGACGGCGTTACTGTACTTTTATACCTTGTGTAAGATTGGCGCAGGCAACATGTGCTTGCCATGGGTGTTTAAAGAGAATGCGCAGAATAACTGGACATCCGGTACTTGTGGAAATCATTATCGTTAGGCACAAGCAGTCCAGTCGAAGGAGCGTTATCGATAGGCAATTGCCACTGGATACATTTCTATAATTCGGAATTCAAGATTGGTCGATACAGGCAGCTGCAGTCGCAAGAAATATCCATGGATGGCTAACGAGACACTGCCAAATCGGAAGTCACCAGAGAATCTGCATGGCGTCATGACGGCTGGTTTGGTACAGCACACGTGGGATGACAAAGCACGCTTCCAAGGCTTTGTCATAGGATGCTCTCAGTCGCGCCTTCCTCATGACACCTCCTATCTGCATCTTTCCGAATGGCAACGCACGGCCAACGTACCTCTGATATTTACCAAAGTGTTAACGCTAGGTTGACACTCGGTCGGCTGCGTTCACGAGTGGAGTTGTTGTACGAGACGGATCCAATCGCACACTGTCATGTGCTGAATAATTATTCACGGCGATGTGTAAGGTCGTTAGACCAACGCCAATCTATGAAGGTGGAGGGACATGAACTACGCGCAGTTAGAGCATGCTGACATACCTATCACTAAAGGCATCAAAATTATCACTAACTAGATACGAGATACTCATCGTGACCATACATCCAACAGTTCCCTTTGACATATATCTACATGGCAGTCAAAAGTGCCCCATGTATCTCGCTAACTACACCACAAGAGACGACTACCATTTAATTTTATAGCAAAGCGCAATGTCCCCTAGAAGACTGACTTTCCTACTATCTCTGGCCGTCTTAGGTCTCGGCACTTTATCGTCACCTCTCTCTGGTCCCGCCCTTCCTCTCCCAGCCAGAACAGTAGCTCAGCTTCCCACCGTTCCAACCTGGCTGGAAAATATTGCCGTCCGGCCAAATGGCGATCTACTCGTCACCCAACTAGCTCCAGTCCCCATACTCTACACCATCAAGAACCCATCACTAGGAAACGCAACCCTAGAACCCATCTACGAATTCCGTGCCACCAACGTCACCGATCTCCTCGGAATCACAGAAACAGCCCCCGACACCTACGCCATCATCGCTGGAAACGCTACAACCAACTCAACTGGCTACGCCGGCACTTGGTCCGTATGGCAAGCCACCTTCGCCTCGCCCGACGTCTCCATACCCACAGTCCACAAAATCGCCAACGTACCTCAAGCGAAGCTACTCAATGGCGCCGCTGCCCTGCTTTCCGACCCCTCCATCGTCATGATTGTAGATTCTCAATATGGCCTCCTCTTCCGCCTTGACACCAAAACTGGGACAAGCGATATCATCGCCGATGGACCAGAATTCAAGCCTTACCCAGAACTGCACAACGCTACCGTGGGATTTGGTGCCAATGGTATCAAGATACGCAATGGGTTTGTGTACTTCAGTAATTCGGATCTCATCGCCATATACCGCGTTCCCATCACTTCAAGAGGGTACATACCACATAACCCCAAGGGGGGTGTGGAACTATACGCCAATCTGACTGCGGTGGCCGACTTTGTAGATGACTTCACGTTTGGTCCGGATGGCACGTTGTGGGCTGTGAGTAACTATGAGAACACAGTCATTGCTGTGAGTCCAGGTGGGAAGAAGATGGAGGTAGTCGCAGGTGCAAAAGGGTCAGTGACGTTCGCAGGGGACACCGCGGCAGCGTTTGGGAGAACAGACAGGGATCGGGATGTGCTATATGTGAGCACTGCTGGAGGTTTGGCGATGCCTGTCAATGGGAGTGTTGTTGTACCTGGGAGTATCGTCGCGGTTGATACCAGGGGGTACGCGTGTTAGGAAGGACATGGTCGGCCTTGCAAGACTCCACATGTGTACGTCGCTTTGGCGGTGTCAAGCTGACTGCATAATCTCTATGTAATTAGAACAAGACGTGAGATTAAGATTGATGCATCAGTGCTTCGTCGGGTGGAACAGAGAAGAAGCAACATAGCAACAGCATCATTGGGGCTTACATCAGTGAATGCTTCACTCCGACTCATCATCACCGCGTCAGCTTTCAGCAAGTCACAGAATGCAAGGGACAAGAATTGAAATCAACAATCTTCTATTCATCACATATATCGCTACACCAATCCACCACACCCCCTCAAACACAACTGTAACTAGAAGTTAAACAAAAAAGCAATATGCTGAAGCGATCGTTTTGCATCAGAGTGCGCATACGTTCGTTCTATGCCCATGAAGCTCCCCAGAGAACAAAGCCTGATCCCAAGGATATACCCAAAAATATACACACACAACAAACAGAGAAGAAGTCTTTTAACCACACACAAAAACGCCTAACCCATCCGTCCTAAAAAGAGAACAGAGAGAGGAACTTAGGTGCTTAAGCGGCACCAGCGTAGACCTTGCCAACAGCCGAGAGGCCGGTGCCAGAGTTAAGCTGGTTCTCACCGTCACCGACCATGAACCAGGAGTAACCCTGGACCTTGTCGGAGCCGTCGAGGTACGCCATGGCGTCCTTGAGGAAGCTGGCGGCCTGCTCCTCGGAGGCGCTGCCGGGGTTGAGACCGAACTCGGTGATCCAGACCTTCTTGCCACCCATGTCGGCGGCCTTTTCGACCTGGGCTTGGAAGCGGTCGATGGTCTGCTCGTCGTAGATGTCGTAGAAGTGGATGTTGGTTGCGTCGACCTTGGCGTCGGGGCAGCAGTCGTTGAAGCGGCTGAGCCAGTCGAGACCCATGGGCGCAGGGCCGTTGGTAACGGAGGGTCCGACAATGGTGATCTCGGGGTGGGCTGCCTTGACGGGGTTCATGTATTCCTTC